TACTAAACACATCGTCATCATGATACTAAACACATCATCAGTATTATACAAATTATACGAATTGTAGCATACGAGAGGAGTGGAGTGTTCAACCTTGATTAAATGTCAATTAACGAACAACTGGTCTTTCACTCGATTCTGGTGGACTCTTAGCGCCCCCAAGTCTCTGGGCGACGTGACAATTAGAACTTTAAATAATATATAGAGATGAAGAAAACAAAACAAAATAAGAATCAATGTACTTCAGCTTGGCTTTGTCCGTTTGTACTGCACTGATCAATATCTTGTTCAACTGAGCATTTGAAATGTTTGTTTCTAATATTTTGTCTCATTGTGAGGTTTTGTTGACCCCTTAACCTTCCTCCCATAAAAAGCTTAAAAAAGGGTGTACTTCTCTAATTCAAAATCAAAAGGGTTCACTCTACTTGCGTAAAGTTTATTAGGCAAACAATAAGCTAAGAAGGTCAGTAATGGATAAGAAATGAACACTGCATGTTTGCTGTAAGGGAATAACCTTAAATGGCCCTAGTATATTCTGCACATCAGTATGCTGATGTTGTGTCAACATACAGAAAAAATTACAAAAGAATTAAGTTGTGCCTATAACAAGTCCATGTTGTCTGTTCTTTGCACTCTGGGTATGGTATATATTACTTGAATTTAGTATTGAATTTGTTTGCTTCAATCAAACTAATTAATTTTAACGATTTAAATGACGATTCTTCTTTGTTCAATGCTATATCCAAGTATGACATGTTATTTATTTTTTTCCCTACCATAATGACTGCCTGTCAATCACCACATATTAATGTAGATTATATTTTTAATGGGTTAGCTTTTTTATGGGTTTTAAGCTATTCTTTAATGCTATAGTCAATTTAATAAACATTCGTTTCTCTAGAAGAAAGACTAAGGTCATTTGGGGATGCAAGATAATACATACATAGAAGATCAGGTTTTGTCTTCATGTGAGTTCACTCAGTCTGTATCTGATTCTTAATACAGCCAATTTCATCAATTTCACACTGTACAACATCTCCGTCCTATAAAAAAGCAATTTATTTGATTGATAAGTACTACATACGACTGGATAAATGGTAGTGTGACTAATAATACATTTTTAAAATCTTTTCACTGATTACACATCTGTATTGTGAATAAGTTATTATTTTACACATTATCATGTTTCTGGTTGGCCCAGAACATTCTGCCAATACCTAATATCATGTGAACTAGGCATGATAAATTATCATCTGTAGGTTTTTTTGCAGATCATTCAGTAGACCCTTTTTGAGTTCCAAATTTCCACTGTGTTTCTTGATTACAGACTCATTTACTAAGGCCTAGCCTCGAGCTTATAAGTGTTCGTATTGTTGAAGTTGTGCATTCTTTACTTTACTGTTGGTATTTGCGACACTGATTCGAGGCTAAGCCTGAGTAAATGAGTTTGTAATCAAAAAAACACAGTGGTAATTTGGAACTCATGAAAGGGTCTATTCATTGTTCCGCTGCCTGTAGTTACCATTGTGTCAAGCTCAAAAATTCATTATAATTATAATAATAATAATAATAATAATAATAATAATAATAACAACAACAATAATAATAATAATTTAATTTTCACTGGGAAAACTGCTTCAACAGTGATTAGTTTGCTATTGTCTGAGGGGGAACCACGAATCATTATGTTAAGTTCATGGCAGAGATTAAAATATGTTTGCCAGTATTACTTTCCAATTAATATAGGCAATAGGACTACATGCTGTCCAATTTGGAAATAATTGGACAAAAATAATTCAGAGAACTGACAAAATTTTAAGAGGCTGATAGGCCAAGTCCAATTTTGGCAGTCAGAGGAATTTTTTGAATTCAATTATTTCCAAAGTGGACAGACATGTAGTCCTATTGCAGATTTATTCATCCCAAACTATACTAGACTGATTCCATAAGTCAATAGTTGTCCCTCGAAAGAATGCAAATGGAAACGATTAAAATTAATCTTTAATTTGGAAAGGAAAGAAAATTTGAAAATAATACAATAGTTGCTTATAATATGGGATTATAGAGTGATGATTAATAAATTTAAAAAATTAATAATCATTAATATTCATATTATTTTGCTGTTTTTATTATGATCATTTTTTCAACAAACCTTCAAAAATATAGGTGGTTTTCTAAAGACACCAACACCAGGGGGTGTTCCTGTCAGAATGACATCCCCACATTTAAGTGTACATAGCCTGAAATTATTAGAAATAAATATAATCAGTATTGTATCTATTGATATCATGCACAAGCATAAAACAATTATAAATCCTTCTAAGTAGTTTTGGTAATTACTGGGATACTTGTAGTTACCCAGTCATAAAAACCGTTGTCTTTTTCTTTCTGATTCCCTTTCTGATACTCTGAGGTCTTCAGTACTTTACCAGAGAGATGTTTGCAGGCTTTTGCTATAGCATTCAATGTCACCATGTTGTCAAGTGATTATGTCTACTTATGCTCTATTTTGTTGACTGCTGTAATTCGAAACAGCTTAGCTAGGAAATCAATATTAATTTATTTAATGTAAACAAGAATTTCCAAGTAAAGTTTTCTAAGAATTTAGAATTTGGTTCAGCTATTCAAAGCATTATTCTCTGTAATTGCGGATCAGTACTGAGGGACAACCTAGCCAATTCATGTGTTAAAGATACCCCGCTCAGGAACGATGTATATCTTATTATATATGTCCAGCAAATTATCTGTGTTGTTCCTAACAAAGTAAGCTTATGTTTTTTTTATTACTTTCATTGCGGTAAAAATACTCTATACAAAAACATAACTCTTCATAGCGATAACCAAAAGATAATTAAGTAAAAGAGGTAAAGGTTTGTCACCCGAGTCCTATGCAGGTAAGAACCTTGATATAACATGTCAGAAAATTTTCTGCAAGCGAATTTCTGCACAAAAAATTTCAGTCGTAGAAATCTTCGAGGAAGAGCCAAAAGTGTTTTAAAAAAGTGAGTCCCCGATTRTAGCAATAATTTTGATCAAGTTTTTTGTAGAGTTCGAGGTTTAAAAGATGATGAAATTGTGGTTAAAAGTGAGTTGTTTTTTTCAAAGATGGCGACTGTACTTTCCTTCCTTGTAAAAGTTTATATACATAAGAGTGACTTTAGATGAAAAAGGGTTAGCACGTGCCACCTACGTTTGTGGCCCGCATCTCCTGGTCCCACACATATCTGGTGGCCCCTTGACCATAACTATCAGTTAATATCAATAATTTAATATCAATAATTTAATATCAATGATTATTTTTATGTTGTCCAAATATTGCGCCTAGCTCTGAAGTTGCATGTAACCTTATTTTCTTTATACCGCACCTGGAAACAAAGGCTATTATTGTTGGTATTTTGAAGATCAAGTTTTCTGTATTAGAATCCTGTCTTACTTGGCCATTTACACAACATCGTATCCCAAGTTTGTTTACATCTGCAATAAATGATGGCATAATAAATGATTTTATCAAACTCATGAATAATTCATGAGGAAAACACAACAGAAATCACGATCGTGAAGAGTGTTGTAAATCTGATACAAAACTGTGTTCATTTGCATAAACTTTAAGTTTGATTTTCTCGGCCAAATTCACCTTAATTTTGAAAATTTCAGTGAAACACAAAGGAACTAACCTAGACGTTTGATAAGTCATATACAGTATTCGTGTCCGTGTTGTATCAGATATACAATCACTCGGCTACGCCTCGTGGTTGTATATCTGATACAACACGGCCACTCATACTGTATATATTACAAATTAAAATAACATTTCACATCTTTATATTTGACAATCATATAATAATGGTTATTTCTTAATATCATCATTATCATCATCGGCATCGTCATCAATATCATAGAACCAATAACACATCTACATGAAATTAGTTAGTAATTATGTTACAGTGAAACTACTGTAACCAGGRCCACTTAGACCAGTTAGACAAAATTAGACAAGAGAACTAATTAAAATGTAGAATGAAACCAATACATTCCAGCTTTGGGTAGTAGAGTCAATCAGAAACCTATACTGCACAATAATGGTAATTTAACCCTGATTTAATGTTTAAACAACTAGATAAATATCCTCATTTTCTTGTGGGAATAAAGAGATATCTTGAAAGGCTATTGTTCTTTGCTGATTTCTGATTGGCTCCACTAGCCAAAGTCAGAATGTATTGTTTTTATTCGACAATTTGATTGGTTCTTACTGTCTAAGTGGCCACAGTTATAGCTGCAGTTGAACTGACATGTCTGTGCATGCTCTGAATCTGTTTGCCAATTAGTCAAAACATGTAAATTTGACTTTTAATAAACATGCCTGATAAATTGGACTTCACAAAATGCCAAAACCTTAGTGTCCGTGCTTGAAACTTAATAAGGCTAATTCTTTCATATTGTGTTTGTTGATACAGTATCTTGGTCTGACAAAGGTATACTCTAAAACGTTTTTACTGGAGATGGAGAGAAGCATTTATTTTCTCACTCAAACTCTTCATGCTGAAATGCAAGAATACACAAACGTTTTTCTCTAGTGTCAGTCGTACTGTAAAATTAAAGTTTGATTTACATGGCAGTTTTCATAGCCTTTGTGTACACTTGTGAACATTTCAATTCCACTGTGACCATTTGTTTCTATTTTTGTTTTACCAATAAAAGAAGAAAAAAGAAAAAATGGGGCGGCTAGTCCTCCCCTTTGCTGTGGGCCTGCCACTGTTTTTGTTGTTACACGTTAATTGAGACAACAATGGCAACATGGAAATCAGGCTACAAACTTCTACCTGTAACAATACACTTGTATGCATGGTCAGCGGTTATAAAAGGGAGATTAAAGATGGCGGACTTTTGAAGTACATGTGTGTGTTCTTATGAGTTAGAATCCGAAGTAATCTCGACAATAGGAAGGCCATCGACTCTACAACTCGCAATTAATTCCTGATTATGCAACAATAACAGAGCCTCTGTGGGAACTCACGAAGCAAGGTGTGCCATTTGTGTTTGGCAAGAAACAGAAATGAGCATTTGAGGAGCTGAAGACCAAACTGGGCCAAGCTGAAAGGCTTGCATATTTTGACATGAATGCAAATACCAGAGTCTTAGCTGATGCAAGCCCTGTCAGTCTTGGGGCAGTCTTGAGTCAAGAACATGATGGTGAGTACAGAGTTGTGAGCTACCCAAGCCGAAGTCTCACTGCAGTGGAGAAGCATTATTCTCAGACAGAGAAAGAAGCACTTGCTAGTGTTTGGGCATGTGAGAGGTTTAACATCTATTTGTATGGCCTTGAATTTTAACTGTGCACAGATCATAAGCCACTGGAAACAATTTACTCATCCAAATCAAAACCGTGTGCCAGGATTGAGCGCTTGGTTATGATGAGGCTACAGCCATACAGAATCAAGGTTGCATACATATCGGGGAAGCAAAATGCTGCAGACTCTCTTTCAAGATTGACACAGGTAGGAGAAGACAAACTGTCACCACAATAGTCAATAGAAGCTGAGCAATTCGTCAGATTTGTGGTGATCAACACTACCCCTCGAGCACTGACCATGAGAGAAATAGAAGAAGCCTCAGCAGAGGACGGGGAGCTGCGTGAATTGAGAGAATGCATCAAGACCGGTCAGTGGGGAAAATCTCGGAGCAAAGAGTACATACCGGCAAGTGGGGAGCTTTGTGTCATCAGAAAGCTAATATTGAGAGGTACGAGAATTGTAATTCCATGCAAGCTTAGACCCCACATCTTGATGTTAGCCCACAAAGGACATCTCGGTGTTGTTAGTATGAAGCAGAGGCTAAGAACGAAGGTATGGTGGCCAGGCATCACGAAGGACGCTGAGAAATTTTGTAGGACTTGCCATGGGTGTCAGTTAGTAGGTCAGCCCACTCAACCTGAACCTATAAAGTCTACACCCTTGCCAGATGGACTATGACAAGACCTAGTGTTAGATTTCTTAGGACCCTTACCATCAGGGCACTCTGTGCTGACAGTGATTGACTACTACAGCAGGTATTACGAGATTGCAATAATGAAGTCAACCTCAACTGAGAAAGTCATTGAGAGATTAGAGGAGATCTTCTCCAGGCATGGCCTACCCCAATCAATATCAAGCGACAATGGGACATAATAATCTCGACAATAGGAAGGCCATCGACTCTACACTATCCATCTATCCATCCATCCCTCCATCCATCCCTTCATCACTCCATTCATCCCTCCCTCCCTCCCTCTCAATCTATAATAATAATAGTAATAATAAATAATAATAACAATAATTATGATAATAATTTGTTTGCTTAAAATTGTTTTGATACTTTATAAGGCATAATTTACAAAAATCAATTTCAAACTTTCACAATGAGGACAATCAAACTGTGAACTTGAGTCAATCAATTGGAAATAAGAGTTATTTTCTTCAATTCGTGTATTTGAACTCAATGCTTCATTTTGAAACAGTAGAAAGTTCCAAAATTAATAAACTGTAAAAAAAATAAATTAAGTGTTGGAGTTTGAGTTACAGTCCTCACTGTAATAGTTGAGGTAGTCATAATAAACCATGTTTTATACCTGAAACAGAATCCTTAGTCACTAAAGCTGGTCCTAAAGGACAAAAGGTATCAAACGTCTTTCCCAGAAACCATTGCCCAGCATTTTTTTGCAATTGCCAATATCTTTCTGAAACATCATGTGCTACAGTATATCCAGCAACATGATTCATTGCATCTTCTTCCTATTAAAGAATAAAAGGGTAATGACTTAGTGGTACAGAACACTAGTGAACTTGTCTTCCTAGTGGTGCTAAACAAAACAGTTTGTTATTTAGAATAGACAAAATATAAGTAGATGTTTTCTTTTATAGTCCAGGTTTTATCAGTCCTGGTTTTATCAGTGCAGGTTTTGTCAGTCCTGGTTTTGTCAGTCCTGGTTTTGTCAGTCCTGGTTTTGTCAGTCCTGGTTTTGTCAGTCCTGGTTTTGTCAGTCCTGGTTT